CAGAAGATATAATTAATATTGTGAACAAGTTGAAGTTTTCTATTTGGAATAGAAAATTAAATTATATCTCTTGGTTAAAATATATATAATGATATATATAATTAACACTTATTTTATATAAAAGATGTTATATAAAATATAATATTAATAAAAGGCTTGTTAGTAATTCCAATTTGGAATTGGATTAAATCACGTGTAAAGTTCACAAAAGGAACTTGTCGTCAATTTCATCCCATTTGGAATGAGATTAATCTTTTATTAATTATGAAAGGTTTACAAGTAACAGATTCGAACTTTGAGTTGGAATAATCACGTGAACAAGTCTTCGGCAGTCATAAACCTATTTAAATGAGATTTGAACTTCTATGGAAAAAAGTTTACAAAGTTTATTTTTGGAATAAACTTTTACCCTAAGTGAATCATTACCTCAACCAATATGAAAAGGTTTTAGGTGATGCTATATAAAGGGTGATGGAAAAAAAAACTAATTCTTGAGAAAAAACCCCATTTTGTGAAAGTGAGAGTGCAACACAAGCCAAGAGAGAAAATACAGTTACAAGAAAAGTGTTTCTTGTTCTTCTAATTTGAGTTGAGATTTTTGAGAAAAATTTCAGCACAAGTTTTTCGTTCAATTTGTTCGCGGGTTTCGTTGATCAAAGAGTTGATAGCAAGGATCAGTCTCGGTGTGGATACGCATAGAGTCTTCGCACTATCGAAGAAATTTTGAAACGAGACTCTCTACACCAGGTACGTCTTAGATCCGATCTATTGACATGTAAATAAATTTTAAACACGAAAAGATCTGCCTAGGATTGTTATTGTCTTCCGCTGCGTGTTACGAACACCTATATGCAATCCTTCACAGTAAACTTTGCAGGTATTGCAACCTGCTCCACTTCTCTTGACCCTTGCAATCGTTCATATGAATATTTTAAGCCAAATGCTGACTTTTGGATATTTGATTCCGAGGCCACAAATTAGATGACCTATAACAAATCTATCTTAACCAACATTAAGACCTTAGTTTATCTTTTTCTAGTCATATTATCTAATGGATATATGGTGAAGGTGACACTAGTTGGTGATGTAGTCTTGAGTCCCAAATTCAGCCTCAAAAGTGTTCTTTTTGTGTCCAGTTTCAAATTCAACCTAATATCTATCCACCGTTTGACAGTTCAATTTGATTGCTATGTCATCTTTACCAAGTTTTCATATATTCTTCTGCAGGCTGCCCAGGCTGCCCATACACTAAAGAGGCCTCTGGAAATTGGTAAGGCTACTGATGCAAGCCTGTTGCAACTTCTACTCAAGTTCTATCTAGTATCTCTGATAAGAA